ATGTTTTCCGCCTTTTTCTTGATAACCAACGTTTTATCCTTTCTACCATCGAAGTATAGCGCAGGTATTTGGCGAACATTCTGTTTCTCAATTATGTGTTTTCTATTTTTCGTTCTTTCTCTTCTCAACTTATTTTTATCAATAATAGGCTTATTGGTTTCATGTAGAATAACGGAGGCTATAGCTGCGGCTGCTCTGTCTGATACCGATCGCAAGTTTGAGACAATGTAGCAAAGTTCATAGAAGTAGAAGGTTCCACTTTAAGTTTTCTTAATTTTTTGGGTTGAAAATGTTCGCTTTCGCTGGATGTATTAGACACAGAAGATGATGAGATATTGATTTTAGTAGTAGTCGATTGATTTTAGTGGTAGTTTCAGCTTCGGTACTATTTTTAGTGTGAGTTTTTTTTTACATTTCCTCCTTAAGTTTTCTTTTGATACGTTTTTTATTTTTCCTTGTTGTTGCAACATTTGTGTTTCCTATTATCATATTTCTTGCAGATCTTTGATCTACATATGAGGAAACTTTGCTCATTCATTCGAACTTTTTTTTCTTTAGGACAAGTACAGTTGGTAAAACCTAAGCACTTGCAAGAAGAAATATCAAATAAAACTTTGCTGGAAGCAAGAAAGTGTTCTAAACGATTTTTAGGTACTTTAGGATGAGATATTAAAATATTTTTGAATTTAAGATGATAAGTTTTAAGCATTTGTTACACCCTTACATGTGTTAAAATTGGCAATGATGCTTTCTTCCATATGTTTTCTATTTTTACGGTGACAATATCGGCAATTTCTTGAAAATTTGGCTCTTTTTTGTACTTTTGGTCATTTTAATTTCACATCTCATCCACTCATAGCACTTCATTACTTCTTCATAAGTTGGAAGCATATTATCCTTCAAGTCACTTATGTCACCAAATATAGAACATTTATTAGCTTTTCGAGTACGATTCATTTGAAAAAATCACAGTAACACAAAGTAGCGCAACAAAACGACTAAATTAAACTCTTTTTTAATAAAATATTTACGTGTACGTTTATGTGTACGTTTTTGGTGTCGTTTGTAACAATAGACGTTATTGTAACATAAACATTTAACAAAGTATAAATGGTGTATATTTATTATTCAGATTACTTTGATAAATCAATTAATTCATTGAATTTATCGAAACTTTAAACCTGATCCGGAGGCAGTTATACTATACCGATTGCAATAATATTTTATATACGTCATACCATTACCAATGGCTACCATATTATACCATACTATACCATATTATGGCTATTAAAATACATAATTCAAAAAAAGTGTTTTTAGACCCACCCTCCTCCTCCAGAATTCCATTCAAGAATGCTGTATCCAAATCAAAATGATGAACATTTAAGTTCTTCTTAATTGATAATGAGAATAGGGTCCGAATTGTCTCCAACTTAGCAACTGGAACATATGACTCGGTTTCGTTAGTGAAATTTTGGAAACATCCTCTAGCTACCTCGCTTCATATGTCTCGTGAGCGGGCACGTGGTGGCAAGGTGCTCGCACGAGGAGGACCGGAGTGGCTTATGCCGTTGTGGGGTTCCCGGCCACAAAGCGGCCGGATGTTCGGCGGCCCCACACTGAGTGGTCTGCGCAGCGGCGTGTCGCCCAGCCGATCACAGGGTGGGGGCCAAAAAGTGCCCCCAATTCTAAAATAAGAAGAGGGGATTCGCAATGTCGTCGGCCCACGGCAATGGCCGCCGGGGAGAGGCTGAGGTGATGGACACCGGTTAATAATGGCAGCCCATCGCCTCCTGCAGGGGAATCTCAACCACTGCGCGCGCGCCCACGATCTGCTTCTGCAGAGCGCGGCGCAGTGGGGAGTTGACCTTGCAGTGGTCGCCGAACCATATCGTGTCCCACGTAGTGACCATTGGTTCGGCGACCCCTCTGGCCTGGTGGCCATTGTCGGCGCGGGCCATTCCGCGACCCCGCTCGTCAGCCGCCTATTCGCGGAGGGGGTACATAGGTGTGAGTTGGGGGGAAACCGTCGTTGTCGGGACATACTTCTCTCCGAACAGGACTCTCGCCGAGTTCGTGCAGTTCATGGACGGCCTGGGGGCCGCTCTGGAGCTATACTCGGCCCGTCCAATGATGGTCCCCCATCACCGACTCTCAAGGCAGGGTCCTGGAAGACTGGGCGGCCGAGGCCGGCCTGGTGGTATTGATCAGAGGGTCGGCCGCCACGTGCGTGAGACAGCAGGGGGAGTCGCATGTCTACGTGACGACGTATCCCTCTGCAGTCCAGCCATCGTACAGAGGGTGCCGAGCTGGTAGGTGTGGGATGAGGTGGAGACTCTATCCGATAATCGGTATATCCGGATAGATGTTCTCCCCTCACCCGTAGCTCCGCACCCTGGTCGCCAAGAAAGGAATGTCCCACAACTCCCCAGATGGGTGTTGAAAAGTCTAAAGCCGTGCTGATGGAGGCTTCCATCGTCCAGGCCTGGATTCCGATACCGGAAGAGCCTGTGGAGGTCGACGCAGAGATGTGCTGGATCGGCGAGGCTCTGTGGCACATATGCGACGCGGCGATGCTCCGAGCCGGCCCCCGGCCTCCTAGGCATCAGACGCCGCGGCGTCGGTCGAATTAGAAGGCTTGGGCTCTAGGTGGCGCTGGAGAAGACCGAGGTCCTGCGCCACCTCCGGATGCTTAGCTGGTCGTCAGTGGCCAGAGGGTGGGGGTCAAGCCCGGTATTAGGTATTTGGGGCTTGACCTGGACAGTCGTTGGGGCTTCCGCGCTCACTTCCAGAACCTGGTCCCTTGCCTTATGACAGCCGCCGGCTCTCTTAGCTGGCTTCTGCCAAACATGAGGGGCCCGAGAGAAGGTTCCCGCCGCCTATACCTCGACGTGGTGCGGTCCATGGCCCTGTACGGGGCCCCCATCTGGGTGGGGGCCCTAGGCAGGGAAAATGTGGCCTGCCTCAATAGGCCACACATGGTCATGGCCATCCGGGCCATAAGAGGCTACCCCACTATATCCGGGGAAGCGGCGTGTCTGCTGGTGGGGTCTCCTCCGTTGGACTTGGTAGCGGAGCTCCACGCGACAGAATATCACTGGCGCGCGGAGCGACGTTCCATGGGGGATGCACCCGCTGGTCACGAGATTGAAGCGCGGAGGTCCGACTTTCGGCTAAATCATCAGGATCAGCGGGAGAGAAAGGCTGACCAGTCCATCGGAGGACCGTCGAGGCTGTCCCTTCCATCCTCAGGAAGTGGATGAATCGGAGATGGCCACTGACGTACCGCATGACACAGATACTGTCCGGGCACGGCTGCTTCGGGCGGTATCTGTATCATGTGGCGAGGAAGGAGCCGACGACCGGCTGCCACGAGTGCGGAGGTGTAGAGGACACGGCGTAACACACGCTGGAAGAATGTCCAGCGTTCGCGAGTGAGCGCCGTGTCTTCACACGAATAGTGGGGGACGATCTCTCGCTGCCGAATTTAGTTCGGAGGATGATCAGTAGCGAGAGATCGTGGCTGGCGGTGAGCTCCTTCTGCGAGGAAGTTATCTCGCGGAAGGAGGCGACGGAAAGGGAACGGGAGTGGATTCGTCGCCGCAGAAGAGCCAGTCATAGAGGTGGGGCCCAACTCCATCCCCTCTATTTACCCGCTGGGGCCGGGGTGACTGCCTTGAGGGAGGCAGTCCCCCAATCCAAAGGCCCCGGACGTGTGCGCGTGTACCCACACACCTCCACAATGGAGTAGGGCGACCTATTTCGTACCCTACAACATCTACAGAGCGGGTCGTCGCCGTCGGAGCTGGCGTGGAAATGCACATGCGAATCCCCTGGGTCCGGCATAGGCGCTCGTAGGAACACCGTGCGGTTTTTAGTGAGTACAAGTCTCACACTCCACCCTGCCTTCCCTCCGGCGGGGTGACGGTCTTTTGAAGATTTTCCACGTTAAAAAAAAAAAAAAGGGGCTGTGATCCACCCAGGGTTGTTGCCCCCGGAGTTGATGTCGGGACAAAGGGGTTTGCCCCGAGACCCTACCCTCACCTCTCTAGGGGGTGCGGAAGACCTGACAGTCAGACTATAAGCATAACCGTTATGCCGAAAATCGTAAGTATTTCATAAAATATTTCATTGGTCGTGTCTATGTCTTTGGTCTTTTGTTTGATGATAGCTTTATCATTTTGTTATCTCTCCGAAATCCGAATCCGAATCCGAATCCCCTTGCATTTGGTAAACTTTGTCACAATTGTGGAAAGTGATTGCAGCGAAGGCTCTTCGTAAAGATGGTGAGTAGTATTTTAGTAGGTCTGTGTTCCGTATTCCGAACCTCCTTAGTCTAAGCAGGTTGTATCACCGGCTTGCTTACTGGAGCAAAGGGCGCTCGGTAATACTGGCCACATATAAAAACATGTGGCCACTTAAATTTCAAAAAAAGAATAATAAAACAATTGAAAATAAGAACTGGAACTAAAAGGACGCTCCGTATTTTTATCTATATAAAACAAGATAATTAAGGAATTATTTAACACAATATAATTGTTTTTTATGAAAATATACACTCTAGAGTGCGTGGCCACTAAACAGTACTACACATCGGGACGTTCCTGAGCAAAGGTGAGTAAGTTTGGTGTTACATTGCTTACTTTGGGGTGTTCGGAGTGTGGAAGACGTTCTTCCAGGTCGAAATCGTATTTTTACTTCCTTTTCCATTAATTATTTTCTTTTCAATAAATACAGTCCACTCTCTCTTTTATATATTAATTTATAAGGATTCGTAATCCAACAGTCTGTATGTCGGCAGATTGTGTTTTAAGTGAATTTTGTTCTATGTTTTCTTCTTAAAGTGAATAAAATAAGTTCTAATTTATTTAGTAAGTATGGGAAAGATGTTTGGATGAAGCAATTGGTTTTAAATATCTGCGAAAGTAGAGAGTGCTTAAAACAAAGAGGTTTATAGAGAATAAACCTTAAAAGTTATATGTTTGTTAATTTATTTGGAATGTTGATTTAAAATAAAAATTATTTGTGTAAAAACTTTTGCACTTTGTATTTACTATATTTATTAAACACAATGAACGAAGCTATATGAATCTATGCCTTGTTTACCTTTAATATTCCTTGAGAACCGATGACTACAGAAATATCTACCCATTCACCAGAGCAAAGCCGGGTTTTCATCAAGTTCTATAATATTTTCATCCATTAAAATTTCATAAATTCATTAACAAGTAAAGAGACTATATTACTTTTATAATATGTTTTTGCATAGATATCCCTAGAGATGAATCGGACTACATTTCGGCTAAAAACAGTGAGGCAGTGGTTCTAACCCGATGGCAATATCCAGTTCACGGGCACAGTTTTATTGTATTTCGTCAAGACTATAATATGGGCAACTTTGCAATTAAAGATGCACAGATTAACAGTCCCATTATCCGTTTCGCTCCCTGGTTCAAATCATCATCAACGGTATGTTGCATTTAGTCTACTTCTGAATGCGTAAAAGAGTTGTAAGGGGTTTAAAAGGGGAGATCAAAGTTTGTATGGAAGTATTGTCAACGTAAGTGTTACCGTACCATATGGACGACGACTGAAGTGGTAAGACCTACTCCATAGGCATCACTACATAAATGGTGACCCTGTAACTTCAGGGGTGTCACGTGGGCTTGTTTATTTGTGGTATCATTAATTTAAAATTTAAGTTGAACGTCGTTAAAGTTCAATTTCCAAAGACTCACGTACTAAAGCGACGTCTATTTATATTCGGTACTCTGCAGCCAACTTATCTTCCTGTTTGAAGTTTCTGACTTGGACGGATCTGTATGTATGTGTATGTGTGTGTGTGTGTATATGTACCAATGGTATGGTAAAGTGTGTAATGTTTATTTATTAAATGATTTTAAGGGTTTTAAAAAAAATATTAGTATTCTGTGTAAATTAATCTGCGCGCTAATGTCAGAAACGGTGTAACCGATTTGTGTGAGAATTTTAGTGTGGGTACGAGTTATCCAACTCGTGACCATTGGAAGTGAAGCGGTGTGCTAAACTACTAGTACCAGCCGTTAAATAGTTTAAATTTATGATTTAATTTTGTAAGATCTTCCAATTTAATTGATTATTTTATTTCTTTTTATAGCCCGTAGAGTATTATTTCAAACCTCGGATGCAATCTACGGCATATAATTGTTCGACGTATGACGTGCACCAGACCCATACAGTAGGCGAGTGGCGGGATGCAGAATGCCAGCTTTCTGAGATGCCAGAGCCGGGGCGGTTGGCGCTCTGCACTTGTTCTGCAAGGACGTCGTGCTACACAGCTCAGTATATAATTCACGACACAGGTTTGTAAATAAAGACCTACTTACTCAATAGCTGTTTTTAAACATAAGTTCTTTCACGTGCTAATCAGTTTTCACGCAAGAAATAGTGAACATGTAAATGTTGATAAAGAGAACTAGACAGACCGCGCGCACCGCCAGCTCGCGCGTTCTGGCGTGCATGCTTTACCGTCATTTAGTAATAATTATCATTGCAAAATGGCACATTTGATTATGGAGCAAAGACATAATTATAGAGTTATTGATAATCTATAAATTTTAACGTGTCTTTGGAAAATAAAATTAGTGTAATAATAAATAAAATTGTAAAAGAAAGTGGAAAACATTAAATATACGCGCGAAAGAGAGATTACAAAAAATAGTTAAATAATTTTCCTCAGGCTTGCGCGCGCTGGCTTTCCGCTACGCTAATCCGCGCAAGCCTCTTAAAGAATGTGTCGTATTGCCATATATCGTCATACACGACACATTGTCATATTTTTTTTTATTAATTTGAATAGTTATAAAGCTGACACATGACGCAACCGTCGCCTATACAGGCTGTGATCGTTAAGGGTGCGATTATTCTGTAACTATTACAGAAATGTAAAAACCTTAAACTGATATTGCGAGTACACATCTGGAGATAGATTTGAGCTAGGCAACTATAGACCAATTTCTATTTTGCCAGTTCTAAGTAAAGTATTTGAAAAGATTATGTTTAACCAAATGTTAAAATACTTCAGGGATAACGGACTGCTTCACAGTCAGCAATATGGTTTCACTGCCGGCAAGTCTACTACTGATGCAGGTGTAGCGCTTATTACACATATATTCAAATCATGGGAAAACGCACAGGATGCTATCGGCGTTTTTTGTGACTTGTTGAAGGCGTTTGATTGCGTAGATCATGAAACATTTTTGTACAAGCTCAAACATTATGGTATTAGAGATAATGACCTAAGTCTAATGAAAACTTATCTAGAGGATAGGGTGCAAACTGTAGATATTGATGGTGTAAAGTCTAAGAGAACTAATATAAAAATGGGCGTTCCTCAAGGTTCAATATTAGGCCCGTTTCTCTTTTTAATTTATATAAATGACCTTCCCTACATGGTAGAGAAAATTGCAGATATAGTGTTATTTGCGGATGATACTTCCTTAGTGTTTAAAATTGGTCGCCAATGTAATCAATTAGACGATGTAAATTATGCTATCTCTGCTATACTAAATTGGTTCACATGTAATAATCTATTATTGAACTCCAACATAACTAAGTGTATTAAATTCACGCTTCCTAATATAAAACAAGTAAATACGCAGCTATTGCTTAATGATGAAATAGTAAATTTTTTTATGATACAGTTTTTTTTAGGAATAACAGTGGACTCGAAGTTACAATGGGGTCCCCATATTTCAAAATTAGCCAGTAGACTTAGTTCTGCTGCTTATGCAATTAGAAGGATAAGGCAATTAACAGACGTGGCGATGGCAAAACTTGTATATTTTAGTTATTTCCATAGCATTATGTCATATGGCATACTGCTATGGGGTAAAGCTGCCGATATAAATACCACAGATAATAAATACTATATTTATTTTACAAAAGAGAGCCATACGTTCTATTTATGGTATGGGTTCTAGAGAGTCATTACGTCAATGCTTTAAAGAATCAAATATCCTCACCGTTGCCTCACAGTACATTTATGAAAATATTATGTATACAAGGAAAAACTTGGATAGTTTCAAGAAACTTAAAGACTGTACAAGTAGAAACTTACGCAATTAAAATAAGCTAATTTTACCTAAATGCCGTCTACACAAAGTTGGTAATTCATTTTATGATAATTGCGTAAGATTCTCGCTAAATTTTACACAGAGGCAATTCAAATCTTATATTAAACAAATGTTATGTAAAAAAGCCTATTATAAGATAGATGAATTTATAGATGATAACAATATATAGCAAGAATAAATTTATTTGCGGACAACGTTATAATTTTAATTTTCATACTGCTTTTTTGATATATGATAGCGTAGCGGCGTGTGTATTGATTGCCGCATGCATCCTTATGTAAAGTGCGAATACTGTAACTACCATATAGTAATTTTTGTAGCTGTGACGTGGTCGTGTGGAATGAGTAGTCATGCTCACTAAAATGTCCAGACATGTGGCGGCGTGGTGGGCCTAAAATATGGTCGAGCGCAGTGATGACGACGGCGACGATGACGTATGACGGATGAGCCAGCCGCTCATCCGTCATACTCGTGAACTAGTGCTGCTTGTAGGGACTGGTCTGCTCTTATCACTACGACTGATTTAATCTTATTGCATATTTATATTTGACCCAAAAAATTAGTGCTTGTTGATAGTTTGTATTCACACGTTTCGACTTGTAAGTCGTGACTTGTAAACTTACAAGGATTATTTAAAGAGCAACACACAAGTTTCTTGCTCGTTCTCCTTGTAATGAGACAACTTTCCGAACGAGTGGTAGATAAAAAACAAATTGTTATGACTATTCAAAAGTGCTTAAATTAAGTTTATTTGAATAAATGATTTTCTATTCTATTCTATTCTATACTACCTAATGAGTAAAATCAAATCAAAAATCATTTATTCATGTTCATACATTTTAGCCAGTTAAATATAAAGATTCAATCGAGAAGAACTGGGAGGAAACTTGACAGAATTTCTTTTTTAAAAGCCAGTTTATTTACAATGTATATTTATGTAGGTGTCCATATCGAACATTAAGTGAATTGCCATCATTCAATTAATCGTTTAGCTTTGCTCAATAAATGTGATTTAACAGATGTTTTACATTTATTTAAAGGTATTCCAGTATATCCTTCGGTATCTTATTGTAAATTTTGATATCCATTACCATAAAAGATCAGCGCGCGTATTGAACTCTTATTCCCATTCAGTTTACGGCTTAAACTGAACTGCCTGAAAACTGACTGGATTTTAAAGAGTTCATAATACGCCCCCTGTTGACTTTTATAAACGATACTTAGTAAGAGCAAGTAAAATGATATATTAGTTTAAGGTTTTTATATCTAACTTTTATATACTGGCTAAATATAAATAGTTAAATTATTTGTTTAAATAATCCAAAATTTTGACATACACTCACTGTACTTTTAGTATTAGATTAGTAGAAATAGTTTGGTCTCCATTACCAGAAGGAACTTCTCTTTGATACTCTATTCTAAAATAATATTTAATTGTCAAAAATATTATTCATATTCAGTCGTATTACTTTAAAAAGCTCATTTAATTATTACAGGTACCACAACAACGCAGCATTATGCGACAACTCTCACGGTTTGTAAAATTCAAATTCAAAATATCTTTATTTATGTAGGTCTATTACAAACTCTTATGATATGTCAAATCTACCGTCAGCTCAAAATGATTTCGAGATGAAAAGAACTGACAAGAAATTCAGATGGTAGATACAGATTAATTTTTAAATTCAAATTTGGGAGAATATACCGACCACGAACACATGCTATTGCAAAAGCAAATATTCTAATCAGTGTTTGTGACCAGAACAGACCAGTCCCCACAAGCAGTACCTGTTCACGATTATGACGGATGAGTCATCGTTGCACTCAACCATATTAGAGGGAGCATATTGACCCGGCCCATCACTCCGCCACAAGCTTGAACTTTATATGACTGTTTCAAGTTACTCCACTACGTCATTTATAGTAAGTACGGCAGGGACTGTAACAATCACAGTTTTCATATATTACAATATTTAAATTACAACATGTAATTAATAAATTTGTTATAAGTTTCTGTAATGCTGAATACATTGATTGATATTCATTGATTTATATTATTTTGTTAAATTCCGCTACCAAGAATGCGATAACAAATATTCAGTGCGGAAACCCCGCTACTTGAAGCGTTTTTTTTATTCTATTTTTATTTTTAAATACAATTTTCCTCAGGCATATTCGTCCGTGCCTTTTTTAATTTACTTTAATATTATAATATTTATTTAATTTCCACTTTTGTACAACTCCAGCCGAGATGTTACAATTTGCCTAACAGTGACACCGAGGCAGACCTTATCCGTCTGGCCCAGAACCACCGCTAGCCGGCCGGGTGAGTTGACAACATGCAGTGTCACCCATCTTTATTAGGAGGATTACATTTACCAATATGCATATACAATTATATAAATCTTACACTACTACTAATTTCACAGTTTTCATTACATTGTGTTGTATTGTTACATTATGAATTCTTACACTGCATATACAATTATATGAAATCTTATTTTAACATTATTTTCAAAGTTCACTATTTGTTATAGTCCAGGTTTTGTTTAATTATTGATTGTTTAATTTCACAGTTCACTTTTTGTCGTAATTCGGCAATTTTTTTTTCCCTTTCTTTTCCTTTTTTTTTATTATACTTTTAGCGAGCATATTCCGGCCTTTCCAGTCCAAAGCGCCCCGCCGATGCATCAGCTGTTCCGGTTTTTTATGTGCTGATTATTTTAGCGCAATCAGCGCATCTACGATCGCCCTGCCTCTATTTTTAATCGCCATCTGCAGTGAGTACTCACGAATGTCCGAGTGAGTCGCGCCTTCGGCCTCTTGTATAAAACGAGCAACTGCGTCTTCTCTACTACGCTACTGGAAGCGTTACGACCTTCTCTGTTGGTAATCAAATTCCGATCGTTATTGCATCTACACACAATACATATTGCAATACGTGTTTCTGTCGGTGGTATGAGGTCTATCATCAGGCAATAAATGGACTTCGGATATATCTAGTGTTCTGTTCCCGACCAAATTCTTACCGAATAGTCAACACTAGGTTACGACTAAACTACTTACAGTATCACAGGTACAGTAGTACCCCGCTGCAGGTGATAAAATTTGACATTTGGACCTGTCGATTTAGTGATCGAGATTAAAAACACACTATAGATATCATGGTGAACCTGCACACATTTCGCTGAATGTATTTGCACTACCGTTTTTTCTCGTATTAATTTAGTTTATTATTGGTAGTTCCATTACCAGAGTCAGGAAAAAATACAAGTTGATATACAAAGTTTTTGGCATGAGAGCGTCGTGATTTAGTGGTTTACTTAAATCCAAGATCTGACCTACATATCCTTTTTTTGCACGGTGACTTCTCCTATCCCTTTTTATTATTCACTAGAAACTTGAAAAGGTAAATTGGGTGTCTAGAAAAACGGTTGAATAATTTTTTAGTCACTACTCTAATACGCTATATTTTTTAATTATCATTATTTATGTAACAAATACTTAATGATTATTTCTGAACCGATATAAAATTGAAACTTTCAAGAAAAGAGCTTATTCCTTCTTAAATGGCTTGTAGCCGGCAACCGCCAACTCACCTACAATTCCCCTGGAACGGGTGTTCAGGTCACAGACGATCAGGTGTACCACAAATTCCCTTACCCTTATATCGTAAAATGAAACCTGTTATTTTAACAGAACTACTTTTAATAATGTCTTTATTTTCAGCCCGCGGACGTAATTAAGGAAATTACAGACGATATCAAAAACCTATTACAGAATCCTCCAATATATATAACCGATGTAGACGAGATTTTTGATAAGGTACCGAATTATTTTAAATAGTAGTATTATAAATGAAAATTAATTTAAAATATTATACTTCTTCATGGTTGTCGAGAGTTATAATTTGCTGATAATCCAATTTGGGTTTACAGGATATATGTGAGTGGAAATATACAGTGGGATAGTGTCATATATATAGGATAGTGGTATTAGTTAGTGACATATATATAGGATAGTGGTATTTTGTGTGTATTTTCTATAAGCGCTATATTTTTAAGTTCTGACAAACATCCTGGTTTATGGATCACCTAAAGATGGCGATGAATGTAAACAATTGTTTACTCCCTTTCTTAGTGTATTCTCCGGACAGCATTGTTACTTCTATTGCAAAATAATTATATATCTAGGTTCAGATTTAATTTATGTATTATACATCTAGTACTGGAATTGGAATTAATGGAAAGCGACAGAAGGCATAAACACCAAAATTTTAATAGGAATGATCACGACCAGGAAAGGGTTATTTTGGTAATGACAGTATTAATTTATTTCGTTATCATTATTAATATTACACATTCTATCAGTTTTTATAAACATAAATAAGTGATTGTTTAATTTGATAGAATACTGTACATTAACTAAATCTAAACACGTTTGCATTTTAAGTAAAAACAATACAGAATGATAATAATTGCTAAATTAAATCGTCATTGTAGACATATACAAGGTATATATTGGCGGAACACTAGTGGACAATAATACGATAGTAGTCAGAGATAGTACGTCGTTAAGTTAGTAGCAAATATTAGCAATTAGCCACAGTGGCTTAAAAGCCCCTTACTAACAATTGCCTACCGTATGGATAAGTTCGATGTTGAGTATTACAAAATATTTTTTTTATTGCAGATTAATATGCTTCTAAGTACAGACGAGGCTGTAGTCTTCCCAGGTGAACTGTTACAATTGATTGAGGAACTTGGTATGACAATTGATTTAAAAGGCTCTCTGAGTGACATGATAGTGAAGGAACAAATAGCTTTATTGATGGCGGATGCTGGGGATTTATATCCTGTTAGAGGGTTGAGAGTAGCTAGTACAGATGTTGACATATTTGTACGTGAAGCATTTGAGATTTTATTAAGTGAGTAATACTTGACAAGTATTTTATTCATGCGTAATTTTTTTAATAGCCGTGTGTGGTATCATTGTAGAAAATGATAAACAACATGTACAACATTACTGTTTTTATTCTGTGTATCGTGAAAGACAATCAGAAGAGACAAATTACTGGTATGATTTGATATATTGCTAATATAAGATAATTAAAACCTTTAAAATTGTACCGAGAAATGGCTTTTTTATCGTGTGGAAAAATCTTTCACAGATCATCCCCTCTGACTGAGGGGCGACGAGAGATTGTGATCTTTTATCTTACCAACTAAAAAACTACAAGGTGTATCTTCAAAATTCAAAATTATCTCTCTACTGATCTACGTGTTGAATTGTGCGATTCTCTTATATTATCCAAGTTTAGTTACGGTTTAACAGTTTCGGTTCTTGTATATTAGGAAGATCACGGCGGCTTATCCAGCGTGTACAAAATGCATGCGCCCATTTTTGCTTCCAGATTCTTCCGCGTAGTCAAGGGCAATTTCAGACTCCAAGTGTTGGAATAACTTGCCTCCTTTCTATATATCATTAGAAATATGTTTTATTACTACTATGTACTATGTAGGATAGGTTTTTGTTTGGTCTAGCGGTAAGCTTCTTCTGGGAAGAATTTATCACGCGGAAGGAGGCGCCAGAGAGGGAGCGGGAGTTTTATCTCTTCGCTCCACTAATTCACCGAAGAAGAAAAATCCTGCTTAGTGGCAGGGGCATAGCCAACTCCGCCTCACCTCTATCCAACTAAATGGCCCCAGTTGTCTAGTGGTAAGCTTCTACCCAGAAGAAGCTAACCGCTAGACCAAAAAATACGAAACCTGCATGGTAGTAGTAATAAAACATATTTCTAATGATATGCAATAGGGATTTTAGCCTGATATTAGAATTAACGATTGTTTATGATAATGATAAAAATGAATGATTTCAAAAAACTGCATCCAGATGTTTTTAATTTCGCTACAAAAAATCGTAGTCCGTATTAATCTTTGCTTGCTTTTTATTTTCATGTTCCTCTACGATGTTTTGCAACTACGTATACTTTTGATATGAAGTGGATGTCAATTCGACGCACTTAACCGTGAAGGAGACTGATGTTGTGGTGAATCTCCCGCAGTCCGTGATCAACATCCCGAGACGTATTAGCTTCACCGTATTTAATAACGAGCGCGCTTTCGATTATGAAGGTGAATCTATCGTTAACAGTCGAGTAGTGAGCGTTAATGTGGAGAATTACACACACTTCGAATCTGGAGAGGTAATTAATTGTACTAAAAATATGTAAATGAAAATCTTCTTTAATATCTCAGGATAATTCACACAGCAACATCTAGTCGAAGCTAAGCAGACCTTGTGGGATGGATTCTGGACGAGTGATATAAATACATAGAGAGATTATTTCTTGTAAATAGATCCATAATAATCATACTCATGAATACAAATGTTTGTATCGCACGAGGTATCGAACCCGCGACAAGAATTTTGATGAATATTAGTAACAGTCTTAATCATTTGATTTTAACTTAAGGTTTGTTTATTGACCTGCTGCATATTAAAAGTTATATCTGGTCCTGTTCCAGGTAGTCAGGATACATTTTACATCTATAGAAGAACCAGAACGAGACCAGAGACGATCTTGTGCTTATTGGCACTTTTTGGAGAACGGCACTGGCTATTGGTCACAAGAGGGCTGCACTTTTATCAGCTCAAATAATCCAGACATTTTAGATTCATGTCGTTGCGACCATTTAACACATTTTGCGGAGATTTTAATACCTCGACCTGTCTTCTCTGAAGGCAATGAAAATGCATTAGAAATTCTATCTGTTATCGGTTGCTCTTTGTCTATTTTTGGTATATTTTTCATACTACTCACAGCTGCTGTGTTTGAAACTTGGCGTTCTAAATTTCGCAATCAAATTTGGCTTCAGTTGTGCATAGCGTTATTAATATTATCAATTTGTTTTTTAATAATCGTACATGTGAAATACTTATATTTCAGTGCTTCATGCATGTTCGTTGGTATCGTTTTGCATTACTCTGTATTAGCTTCATTCTGTTGGATGTTTGTGGCCGCAGCAATTGCTTACAAAGACACAATACCATTCGGAAAGCATATAACACATAAAGTAATGAAGACTTCAGCTTTTTCTTGGGGAGCTCCTATCGTGATCATCGGTATACTTCTTATATCTGCACCACGGTCGTACGTCGGACGTTTTGAAGACATGACCCCCACTGGTAGTTTTTGCTATCCTTCAGGCCAAGGATTATGGTTGTCTGTACTCATGCCTATATGTTTAACATTATTGATAAATGTAATAGCCTTTTTCTATATGATAAGAGTCATTTACAAAAGCGAGCAAAATACAAAATTAGGAAAACAAAAAGCGAGTTACCGTAAAGTGGCCTTGAAGTGCACGAGTACTGCGTTTGTTTTAATGTTCTTATTCGGCTTACCCTGGATATTTGGACTGTTTGCCTTTAATATTGTAGCAGCCTACTTGTTCACTATTACCGTCACTATTCAAGGATTTGTTCTTTTCTTATTTATTGTATGCGGTTATGATAACACTAGGAAGGCTTGGATTAACAAACTACAATCCATATTTAACACAACATCTAGGAACGTATCTAAATTCGTTAGTTCTACCACTCATTTAAATTAGTTTCTTAAGTTCAGTTTTATACATTGTTGTATTTTTTTATTCCTAATTTAAGAGCCGCGCTCTTATCGGTGGACTATTGGTATTTTCCACGATCTTCCATCAGGCTCTTTAGTTGTTTATACGACACGACTCCAACTTTTTCTCTAATCTGTTTGCTTTAACGGTGTCTTGGTCTTCTCCTTACCCTTCCTTATATTTTTTAAGAATATAAAATTATATATATCTACTGCTTTTGTCTTCCATTCAACTTTGTTTATATTTTTCTTCGAAAGGGCATTCTATTATATTCTATTCAAATTCATGAAATGGTGCAAATGTTGAAGTGATATAAATAACAACAAATATTATGTGAGTAAATAAATATCACAATAAGTCGATGTACAGATTATATTATATGTATCAACTTAGGGTGCAGATACATTTATTCCTAGGGTGTTGGTCTGTATATATATCGGCGCTGGCTTGATTCGGGAATAGTCTCGTCACAACATCTTTGTAAATAAGTGTGATGACAGGAGCGGTGGCGAGAGAAACACACACAGTAGGGTGGAACTTGTGTATTAACTTTTTACATCTTAATTTACTCTACCTTAGACTAATTACTAAGATTATATATATATATTAACCACTGCGTGACTTACATGTCGTTAGATATAACGTAATCTGGCACAATCTACTATCGAACGTGCTGATTTGCATCACTATATCACATAAGAAATTTAATTATAATTATAATGTCAGCTATTATGTGTTTCGTAAATTTATATTAAAATTGTAAAATAGATATTTCTAGAAACCACTGTGATTAATTTGAATTAACAATTGTAGATTAAATGACTACCTATGTAATATTTACCAGTGCTAGGATTGTTTTAAAGCTGTCCTGTTAAATCATATTTACTTTCAAATGTTTAGCAAATGTAAATTAACGCTGGATAATGAACACTGTATAATTTCTATAACTGGAATTATTTAGAAATTTTAAAACAGACATTAAGGCACTCAATGTCTTTCATATATTGTTACAGAAATTAAGGCAGTCAATTGACTGCCAACATTGTTAACATAAATGCTAAATATTGTAACGAAAATATGCAATTTAATAACTATTATTCTTAACAATATTTTAGAGAATTATAACAAGCTTATCTGTAGTAATTAGGTAATAAGGAAATCTATATTCTATAAATAATTGTTAAACTGTGAGCGAGTACACGAGCGTTTGCTCTAATTGGTTGGCACACTAGCGCCCTCTATGAGGGGATAAGCAGTCTTATTGTACTCGAACATGATTGAGGTGATCAGTTACCGCTGAGCCACGTAAAGAGTCATGTCTGCTTAGAAATAATAATAGTTATTTAAAAGAGCTACACACAATTTTCTTGTGATGAGTCTGCGTTCCGAATGAGTGGAGAATCCAAAATAATGTGACTATTCAAAAGTGCTTATATTGTGTTTGCTTGAATAAAGATTATTTCTATTCTCTATTGTTTACTTAAAGGCTTTCATTTTCTTTAATTATAATAACCTACGAGTTAAATAATTGATAGTCGCTGACGTCACTATACCTAAAAAGTACGTTGCTGTATCTGCTTCGACATATATAAAATTGACTGATGCCTTTCTTTATTTCTCGTTTTTCTATTATTGTTCTGTTGTTGTTAATATAATTACATGCAGCACGCATTCAGGACTCGCAATACCACGAAGTTCCCTCCACCTTTAGAGTTTCTTTGTAAGAAGTATTTCGTAGAGTGAGATATGGTAGTGGAATTACAAAGCAACGCGTACGCAAGCGTAATCCTGGTCTTTAATGGCAATGCATTAAGAGTGTTAAAACTTTTTTATTTGAAAATTAAACTAACTAAGATGATGCTGTGAGCGTAATTATTAATAACATTACGTACTCTGCACAGCGCTGAGTACCAATCAGTCCCTCGCATTTAATAAAATATAAAATTATGCGAGCACAATCACGTCTTTAAGAACTAACACCGTATTTATTTTATTACTATTTGTTTTGTTTATAATAATAATACCATTATATAAGTTTCCAAAGTATAATATTACCCAAAATATAAAGTATCTATATAAATATAGGCTACCAATATTATATCTAGCTTTGAATATTACAATTATTGCACCATTTTCACCAGGAATTTACCACGATGGTTTCTAGGGCAATCGCGTGGAAGTTAATCTGACATAGTACATTTTTGTAACGGGTTTTTTAGTCCAGATTAGTAACTATCCCCTTCCCCCCACGCTTTACAGTATATGTAACGTTGGGCACACGTGCTATTATTCTATTATTTTAGTATATATTTTTTATATAATTCTCCCCTTTGAAACCAAAATTGCACTGTTCACTCCTTATTTCTTCCTATCCTCGATTACGTTGACTCCTGCTGTTTAGATCTCACTGAAAATCAATTAAGTAAACTTGAGCGACTTCAAAATTCATGTATACGCTTCATATTTGGTCTGTGCAAATATGATCACATTTCCCATTACCGTACTCAACTCAAGTGGCTCCCTATCCGTTTTCGTCGCAACTTCTACAGCCTATCACTCCTTTACAGCATTCTCTTAAACCCCGTCACTCTTGATTCCTAAAGACAGTTTCACACGTCTCAGTGAGAACAGTAACTAATTCTCGCGTAGTGTTAACAACCTCCGTCTCATTTATTCGGCTTCATCCATTCATCATCCATCCATTCTTTCGCCGTTCAGGCAATTAAACTCTGGAATGACTTACCTCTTGATATCAAGACCGCCACGAGTAAAATTTCGTTTAAACAGAAATTGCGGGAACATTATTTAAATTTGTAACTTTTTTTACTGTCTTTCTACCTTTTACACATCTTTCTGTTATTTCGATATAGTTCGCTCTATATACTATATATTTTTTTCTTTTTTTCTTACTTTCAATTTGAGGCTGTACTTATAATTCGATTATCAGATCATAATGTATTTATTTATATATAATATTTATATATCTATGTTTATATTTATACATTTATGTATGTATGTTTATTATTATTATTTTTTATTGATATTTATATTTAAAATACTTTGCTTTATATTTATATATCTTTTTTTTGACATTTCTCATTTATATTAGTGCACCGCCAACAATATTTCTCTGCACCACTCATGGTTGACTGGTAGATAACGCCGCATGGTGTTAAGTCCGCCATATGTACACATCGTTTTTGTGCATTAAAGTTAAATAAATAAAAAACAAAAACAATTCCCTCTCATTCTACTTCCATCTATTCTAAATCCTTTTCTGTTCAGGCTGTCAGGTTATGAAACTTACTCCCCCTTGTATTCGGAGCATTCAGTCACTTGCCAGTTTCAATGTCTCTGGCAAATCCCACTTTCTTTCCCTTTAAGTTCATATTGTCCTCTTTGTCCCGTGGTTTCCTTCAGACTTTCTGAAGATATGTATATTAATAAGTATATGTATGTATACGTATGTTTAAGTTTATATTATGTGTAAGTTTATATTTTATTATATATATTAATTGGTATATTTATGTATATATGTTCATTTTCATTCACTTGTACCACCTACACTTTTCTTATCTTAATGTTACTTTCTCTACTGGTAGTCTTGAAGAGATTGCTTAGCGATAAGACCGCCTTTTGTATCAATGTATGTAATCTATCATTTTATGTGTTTTCTTTGTCTGATGCAATAAAGAGTTTAAATAAAAATAAATAAATATATGTATACGCATGAACTAAGATTTTTTTATATTACTTTGCTTGGTTCAGATTAAGTAGATATCTGGACAATTAACACAGCATCATCTTGTCCCACGGTAAGCAGAGCTTGTGTTATAACTGATATAAATACTAATATATATATATAGATTATACGTGCATAATATACATAGAAAACACCCAGATAGATACAAACAATCATACTCATGAATACAAATGTTTGCACCGTGCGGGGTATCAAACCATCGGAAGTAAGAAGGTGAGCTAAACCACTATACCACCGAGGCCGTCAGTCTCACCACCACCACCAATATATACTCATATATATATATACATAAATATTGATCGGAAAAATCTGTATTTCTCCATATCTATCATTATTATTAACATTTTTGCTGTATATGAGAAAACTGTCACGTTAATTACATTCGTTGTTAACTTAACTTCATTAATCTGAATATTGATTTGTTTATTACGATGTTTCAGCCGGATTTAGAGCAAATTTTAGAAGACCTGGAGAATCTGCTGAATACTCAGACCAAATATACATCAACCAAGCTGAACCCAAATTCGATCAGGTATTCGGAAGCAAAGCAGTGTGCTAAACCGCTAGATCACCGTCATAGCCGTCAAATAGATTAAAACCGCCAGTTCGCTTCGCACTGTAATGATGTACCTCCCATATCTAACACGTGTAAAACTATTAACTATAATCCGATTAGACAGAAGAATAGACTGTGTTATTGTGTTATCATACTGGATTATTGTATTTTCCAAAGTTTCTAGTTTTTAATCAATCCTATAATACTAGGTGAGCGAAATATCATGTAAATATATTTGCTACAAAATATATTACTTCTTGCGTAATTTACAAAGATTCTCAAAATTTACAAAGAATATTAAAAAAATATTTGTCATCGAAATAACCCAAAAAATGTGATTTTTATAATGGTATATTCCACCTGCCTAGGTTTAGTAATTTAATTACTAGTGTGTTCTCCAAGATGCGCTGATTGAGCGAATTTCACGCTCATCCTATCGTCTTCCTCAGATGCCCGCCAGCGTATTGTGACGGTTCGCCTGGTATTCATTTTAGTTAACACCATATATTTTATAGAATTATGATAAAAGAAAATAATAACAATAATTATTTAAAGATTAAGACTTATAAGTTATATAATGGAAATAAAGCAAACAAAACAAAAGAAAGAAATAGTTATTAGTAAGTAATTCTAATGTAATTATCATTCTGATAAACTCCATGATAATTAGGGGGTCGACTGTGACGGTTCGCCTGGTATTCATTTTAGTTAACACCATATATTTTATAAAATTATGATAAAAGAAAATAATAATAATAATTGTTTAAAACAAACAAAACGAAAGAAAGAAATAGTTATTAGTAGATAATTTTAATGTAATTATCATTCTGATAAACTCCATGATAATTAGGGGGTCGACTGTGACGGTTCGCCTAGTACTCATTTTAGTTTTACGTCATATTTTGCATAAAATGGGCGATAAAAGGAAATAACAATAAAAATGTACATATTAAAAATATTCACTTCAAAAATTGTATTTGATAACTAAACATAGAATAAATTAGCATATATTCCGTTATTTAATTGACAAAATAATTGTAGTAGAAGCATCGTCTTATTTGATAAATAAAATACATAAAATAAGTTATATGTAAAATAGTACAAAATATTAAATAAAATCAATATTGTGTATTTAGCTTTCAACACCAGAAAAAGGATAGTTCGCTATAACTATCTATAGGTATAACATGTGTATCAAAATAAAGCCATT